GGTGAACCACATGGCCTGAAATAAGGTAGTGGCAATGAGGAGAAGGGTGTAAGTAGCACCATTCCAATTGGTGTTTCAAATGCCTTTATCAATATATAAAGGTATTTGAAATTCATACATTTAAAGTGCACATTCATACATTTAAAGTGAATGTTTTTTAGTGTATTCACATTCTTTAACACAATTAAAATTAGACAAAAATAAACATTGCTCATTAGAGCCATCAAAAAGAAACTGTTCACTAGAACACTTGGAATGGAACCACCATATGACTGAGTTATCCCACTCATGGGTTTATACCCAAAGGACTTAAAACCAGCATATTGCAGTGGTGCAGCCATATCAGTGTTTATAGCAGCTCAATTCATGATAAACTATAGAACCAACCTAGTGTGCCCTTCAACAGATGCATGGATAAGAAAAATGTGATCTATATACACAATAGAATATTACTCAGCCTTAAAGAAGAATGAGATGATGGCATTTGCAGTAAATGGATGGAGATGAAAAATATCATGCTAAGCAAAATAAACCAATCCCAAAAAACCAAAGTCCAAATGTTTTCTCTGATACAATAACAGAAGTGTGGGGTGAGGACGAGGGAAGAATAAAATTATTTTGCATTAGGAAGAGGAAAGTGAAGGGAGGGGTGTGAAAATAGGGTAGGCAGGATAGTAGAATGAATTTAACATTTTTACCCTATTTGCATATATGTTACATAACCAAGTAATTCTACATCTTGTACAACCAAAAGAATGAGAAGTTATACTCCATTTATGTATGATATTCTTCTGTCATGTATAACTAATTTGAACAAATTAAAAATATAAAAAAGGATCGGTACAATATTCAGAAACTCAGTGTAATCCATATTGTTAACAGCCCAAGAAGCAACATCATAAGACCATATCAAATGACAGTGAAAGGCATTTGTAATTATCAATAGTACCATCATCTACAACACAACATTCAAAACCTAGCTATTGAGTGGAAATTTCCTCAAATGTAAGATTATTTAAAATATTCCTACAGATAGCATAAAAATTAATGGTGATATATAGAAATATTTTCTCATAAAGCCAATTTTTTCCTCATTAAAAATCACAAGGAACATAGAAAATTTCATAACTAAAAATCAAATTAACTATGCTGCAGAATATAGAATTAACACATACACACACACACACACACACACACACACACACCTCAATTGTATATCTATATATTACCAATGAAGTGGAAGTCAAAACAAATAAACCAACACCATTTACAATTATTATAATGAAAATTGAACAATAAATAATGAAATAACCACACATGTGAGATATATGGTGAAAGTTCCAATAATCTTATAAAAGATATCAAAGAATTAAATAGGGACATGCCACATTCAAACAAAGGAAGATTCAATACTAAGGTGATTGGCACCAATACCATTTATATCAAAGTCACAGTAAGGTTTCTTGTAAGCATAGGGAAATTGATTCTATGAAGTATAGAGATAGTAGAAATAGCCACAACAATGTTGAAAACAAAGAACAGAGTGAGAAGAATTGTTTTTCAAAGTGAAAATGGGGAACTAAAAAAATCAAATGACACACAGATAAATGGAAGAGAAGAGAGAACTGAAAAAGTACACCAACAAATACATCTAATTAGTTTTTGACAGAGGTAGAAAACCCCAACTCAACAGATGAGGGGTCACTTTTTCAAAAGGTTTTACTAGAGTAAATGGACACAAAACAGTTTTGATTGCTCACTCTTCAAAAAATTGTAAGTCAAGATGTAGCATGTGGTTAAGTGTAAACCATAAAGCTAGACCTTTTTGAAATGCCATAGCACAAAAACTGAGGGACTTTTTCATAAAAGAAAAAAGGCAATGTCTTCTAAATAAAAATTTTAAAACTCTTGGAGAAAAAAAAAATAGAGACCTAGAGAAAATATAGGCAAATCACACATCCAACAAAACACATGTCTGTAAAGCATAGTTTTTTAAAGCTCAACATTTAAAAAACACAAACAACCCAATTAGAAATAGTAAAATACATGCAAAAAATGTTCCCTAGATGGGATGAAAAAGATGACAAATGAACAGTTAAAGATGGTCCATATCATTACATATATGGAAGTGTGAATTAAAACCATGAGAAACATGAGTAAATGCAAATAGAATGGCTAAAACAAATACTAGTATTTTCAACAAGTGTTGGTGAGATTGCAAAGAAGTGGGTCATTCGTGTGTCATTGTTGGAAACATCAACTCTGCAAAATAATTTATTTTGAGCTGTAAAAAGCTTAAAATATAGTCCAGCAATTTTACTCTGAGACATATATCCCAGAGAATTAAAATTCTATTTTTAAGTAAAATCTTCTTTGTAAATATTCATAACAAACTGATTTATAATAGCTAAAAATTGATAACATACAAGAAGTGGGTATATTTGTGTGTCATTGTTGGAAACATCAACTCTGCAAAATAGTTTCCTTTGAGCAGTAAAAAGCTTAAAATATAATCCAGCAATTTTACTCTGAGACATATATCCCAGAGAATTAAAATTCTAATTTTAAGTAAAATCTTCTTTGTAAATATTCATAACAAACTGATTTATAATAGCTAAAAATTGATAACATACAAAAGTCCTTCAGTAAGTGAATGGCTGAAATATTTCTGATATATCTACACAAGGGAGTTCTAGTTATCAGTAAAGATAAGTGAATTCAAACATGGAAAAACTTGGATGTGCATCATGGATATTACACAAGAGAAAAAAGGAAGCCGATCTCATAGGGATACAGAATTTGTGATTCCATTTAAATCATAGTCAAGCAATCACACAATTAAAGAGATAGAGAACTGTTCAGTGGTTTTCAGGAGTTAGCAATGTAGAAAAAGGATCTTAATATATCCATGAGGGGTAATGTAGGGAGCAATGTAATGATTATATGATCATGCATCTTGATTGTGGAAGTCATTACATGAATGTAAACATGGCAAGATAGCATAGCACTAAACACACAAACACACATATACACACAGAGATGACTGCACATACATTGATGCAATTGGTTATAGTCTTGCCTGTTTTTCCAATGCCATTCACAGTTTGGATAGTGTAGAAAAGGAACATTTTAATGTTGGGAGAGGCTGAGTAAGGGTTATATGGGACTTCTCTCGTATGTTCTTTGTAGGTCTTTAAATCTACTATTATTTTAGCATAAAAAGTTAAAATATACACCAAAATGGGATAGGACTACACACCTAACATATGACAGAGAAAAATGAAACAACATAACAAAACTGAACATATCATATGGTGGTGAAAATATGAACTGACTGGGCAGAGTCCAGACTCACATAATGGGTTGAAAGGGAAAGCAAGCACATCTGGTAAAGCCAGTTTGCAAAATAGTTTGCTTCTTATAACATTAGATATATACATACTATATGGTACATCAAACTCATCTCTAGGTATTTACCCACAAAAACAAACTTCAGCATACACAAACTTTGTGTGAATATGTCTATAACACCTTTTTTCCCACAACTGTCAAATCTATAAACTAAAGTCCTTTAGTGAATGAATGAATGAACAAATTATTGTACATCTTTTTGATGGGAATCTCCTTAGAAATAATAAAGAGAGAACAATTGAACCACTTGATAACATAAATAAGTCTCAAATATATGTGTATTATGTATGACACTCTGGAAAAAGCAAACCTGTATGGACAGAGAGAAGATTTGTTGCTGGGGATTGACAGTGGTGTATGACTACAAAGTGGTAGCCAGAGGGAAAATAAATCTTTGACGTGATTACTGTAGTAGTAACATGAGCCTGCACACATTTCAGTACCTATAAGACTGTATTCCACAGAGTGAAATTTTCTGTACATAATTTCTAAAACCCAATGTGTCTAATTGAAATAAGTGTTAATGCAAAGATGAATTTTAGCCTAAACCTTTTGGCCAAATGTTTGAGAAAGTAATTAACCTACATATTCAATCTTCTCACTAAATTCAAGCAGAATAAATTAAAGGATTATCACATTTTGGTAAATCATAATGAAACTATGGATAATCAATGTGTAATGTGTATGAAAATAAGACAAAAAATAAAATAAGAATTACATTATTTAGATGAATAATGAGATTGCACTTGTATTATCATAAATGAAAGCAAGGTTAAAGTGTATCTGCATTTGAATTTCTCCAAGAGATGATTCTTAGAAAAGAATTTCACTTTCACTGAAAATACCCCACACAAATTACAATATTATAAAAACATTTTAAAAACAGCCAAATGCTCAGACATTGCTCACTGCAAAGCACACATAAAAAGAAATACAAGAGGAATTTTTCCAGGATGAAAGTCCTGTATGTGTATTTAAATATGTTTAAAAATTGAGCAGTCCTAGAAAAAAGTAAATATGAAATGACAATAATATATAATTTTAAAAATACACTTAATATTCTATTCATCATTTAAATGCTGTATTCAAACTTGTGATTTTTAAGATCCATACTTTAAACATAAGAACATAGATAGGTTGAAAGAGAAAAAATTTAAATTTACACAGAAATATAAAAAAGACTTAAATTTATCCTCTAAGCATAAAAACTGGTTAGACATTAACAAATTGATGTAAGGATCCATACCAGAAACTGAGTGAGACATTTCATAGTGGTATAATATGGGGAGCCACTGTGAATGACCCATGAAAGAACAAACAAGGCTCATCATTGGAGAAAATGCCCATTTATTGAGGAACAGCTCTGCATATTAATAGAGCCAGGGGTGGTTTGACAGTTATGACAGTTTAACAGTTTAATGGTTTGACAATTGGCATGGAGTATGTATGTCATCTGTAGTTTTATCTGCTAAATCATTGCCCAAACTAAGGGCTCCAGGCAATCCTGTATGTGCCCTGATATGTCCTATAAAGAACGGATCTTTTCTGTCCCAGATTAGAATTTGGGACTGTTGTCTTTCACATATGCTCCTAGAGAGTTAGGGTATTGTTCTCTAACCCAGGGTTTTTGGGAGAGACAGTCCTGGCCAGTTTCAGTGTACATAAATACAAGCTTGCTTTAATCTGATTTAAAATTGGAGTTGGTGGTCTTTTCTTTGTGTTGTGGTTTAACAATTCAAGACGACTGTAATATTAATCCATAAAAGGAAAGTTCTCTCCATGTTAACTCTGCTATCTTTCCATTTGTAAGCTCTGTATTTATAGAGAAAAAGTTTTATTTTGGCTATTTATTTAATGTCTTTAAGCCATAGGTTTTTCTAAGAAACAAAACTGTACAAAAGTGAACAAGTAGATTTTTAATTGTTTTTACAGGGTCATTGTTTAGTTATAATTTTTGCTTATAAGTCAATGAAGATAATAAAACAAAGGTAGTAGGTCCTCTGTTTCTGCAGTTTCCATATATGTAGATTAAATCAACCATGGAGCTACAATATTAAATATATATATTCTTAACAAAATCAGGTGGTTTTTTCCTGTCATTATTCTGTAAACATGATAGCATAACAACAATTTACACAACATTTACAATGTATCAGGTATTATGAATAATCCAGAGATGATTTTAAGTATATAGGGAGATGTTTGCAGGTTATATTTTATTTTATTTAAGGGACTTGAACATTCACAGATTTGGTATCCACTGAGGATCCTAAAAACAATTCCCTACATATACCAAAGGAGAACTGTACATACATTCATATATAGAACTTTGTTTAAACTTCTAAGTTTTCTTAGAATCCATCTTAACCATAACACAATAATTAGTTGTTTTTTTGTTTGTTTGTTTGTTTGGGGGGAAGGCTGTTATTTTTGTTAGTGGGGATTGAACTCAACCACTGAGCCACATCCCCAGACCTATTTTGTATTTTATTTAGAGACAGAGTCTCACTGAGTTGCTTAGCACCTTGCTTTTGCTGAGATTGGCTTTGAACTCAACAATCCTCCTGCCTCAGCCTCCAGACTCCTGGGATTACACGCATGTACCACCATGCCAGACATTTGCATTTGGGTCTATTTTTTTTTTTTTTACCTGAGATTTAAGAAGTAGAAATTCAGTAGTAGATATAGTTATAATAAGCAATTGTCTGCTACAAAACATATTGTGAATTTTTTGAGGTTTGTATTTTCCTTTAATACAATAGTTTACCCATTGGCCCACAAAGCTTTGATATGGAATACAAACACTACCAAAAACTTCCCTATCAAATATCTAAAGGAGAAAACATGGTTTATAAAACCTTTACGTTACACCGCAATACACTGTAAATGTCAAGCTTTTGGGAAAAGGCACCAGTGCACAGAAGTGCAGGCCTTAATGTGCTTTAGCAAGTACAGGGGAGATGTGAAGGGGCACCTTTGGGGCTGTAGAAGGCTGGATTCTGCAATCCACAGAGCTGCCTTGGGCCTGGACAGACCAGCCACGCCCTCCAATCTTTACTCCTGTCTGGCTCCCCGGGAATTCCTTTGACCCCGCCCTGCAAGAGCCCCGCAGTTGGTGGCCACGAGACCCAGGCATTGCATTACAACCGCCATCACTGTGGCCAGGCCGGTTAACCACACAATACTGTCTCTCCTGATAATCCTCTCAGGCCTGGCGTGGCCGACCTCTGGTGGCCAGAGTAAGTAAAGGGCCCAACTGGATCTGAGGGCAGCCTTTAGCAGAGACCTTTAGCAAGATGAGCTTCAGCCTCCTCGCTCCAGAAAGCTCAGACTGGTGAAGGATGCAGCAGAGCCAAACCTGTTTCAAGGCTCTGATCCTTGAAGGCCCCTGAGCCCTGGTGGTGAGAAGGCTCCCTGCAAACCCGGGATACTTGTCCCTCATTTATGTGACCTGTATAAGAAGAGGTGCATCTCCTGTGGAGGTGCGGGAAAGAGAGAGTCTGCATGGGGTCCGGACCCTGGGATGGGGTCTTCCGTTCAGGACTGAGGTCAACAGGCCCCAAAGTGTCTCTGGATAGCAAATCTCTTGCTCTCACAGGATCTTCTACCTGGGATCAGCAAGGTGTAGTTTTGGAGCTTGGAGTGTGTGCAAATGCTAGGGCTTGGGAGTTTAAAAGGTGATGAAGGGAAAGGAGACAAGTGAAGACTGAAGATTCTGCTCCCCACTGGGGAACGTTGACCTGTGCTTTTTCTTGCTGCAGGCTCTAAATCATCACTTCTGCAAATTACAGTGCCGGAGAAGTTTGACAAAAACACCAACCGTAAGGATGTTACAGAAACACACGTAATTAAGAAATCAATTTTATAAAATTTATCCGTGCTTTATTTTTACTGTACTATGGCCCAGATCAATTTATGTACATTCCTTTGTGAAATTCTGTTTGTGTTCTAATTTACCATGCTAAGGAGTGTTTTAGTTTGAGAACAATCTTTGATTTTTTTTAAATTTTTTTTAGGTAATGTAGGAATTATATGTAATTATTTTAAAACAGAAACTGAAGAACAAAACAATACAAACAGTGCCCCAAATTTTTGGAATGCAAAATGGAGTGTACCATTTACAGGACTCTTACAAAATATATACATTTAATGATGTATGGTCTTGCACATGAGATCATGCTAACATTGACCTTGTACCAATTTTAAACTGGAATACAAAATAAAATAAAAAAACAAAAGCCAGAAAACTTCATGGCTATATAGGTATCCATATGTATATATAAAACCTTCAGAAAAAGGACATTATATCATTTAAAAAGGATGTACATTGCAAAGTTAAATCTAGACAGCACAAACAATTGTGAATACAGTGAATATTTACCTTGGTTTTAAAGATAGTAAATTTAAAGTATGTGAATATTTACACATGGACATACACATTTGTAATGATCATCTGAGTCTTTATATGGTTGTAATATCACATATTTTACAAAACTTTTGACATGTACATCGTTTCATAAGGCTTTGGTAGTTCATCTACATAGGATCAATGAGTACACAGGTAAATATTTTTAGGATATGTATTTCAAAATATCTTCACTTCTTTCCAAATCATATAGTTGCTCTTACACAAATGGCACACTACCTTAATTATCATCATTTCATCATAAGTCTCTGAAATTTGGTATTTTTCTGCTTTTGCTTTTTTTAATTATTTTGCCTGTTTCATTTTTTAATATGTAAATCTTGTACATTGTCTTGCCAAATTTTACAAACAGCTCCTGGGATTTTGTAATAGATAATATTCAATCTACAAGTCAATTTTTGAGTGAAATGAAATTTCAATAATATCAAGTTAATTTATGAATGTGATTTTTTTCTATGTATTTGTCTAATTTGATTGTTCTCTGTCATGTTTTGTATTTTCAATTATAAGTAGACTGCATATATGCTTTAAAAATTTTTTAGATGTTGGTGAAGCTTTATTTTATTCATTTATTTATATGTGGTGCTGAGAATCAAACCCAGCGCCTCACACATGCTAGGCAAGCGCTCTACCACTGAGCCACAATCCCAGCCCAAGTCTGCATATGTTTAAGGTTTACTCACACTATGTAAAATGGTATTTTTAAAGTTTATTTTATAATTGTTTCTCATTGTATAGAAATAAACCATATATTTGTGTATGTAACTGTATATATCAATACTGCAAATAAGAATTTTAAATAGTTAATAATAGTAATAGGTTTCTGTTTCTTTTGACTTTTTATGTATTACATACATATTATTTACAAAAGAGCTTCATTTTTTCCCTTTTTTTCCTATCCTTAGGAGTTTTTTTCCTTTTTTTCATTTTTATTTCATAAGTAATGTTGAGAAGCTCCCACATGACATTAAATATGAGTTAATAAATAGTTCATCAATTTCATCCATGTTTTTTTCTTTCTTTATTTTGTGCTTAACAGGCACACAAGTGTATCTGCACAGGAAAAATAACTTGCAATGTTCTATAGCACAGCAGCAGAATTATGGTTGACAACAATTAATACTATATTTTAAAATAGGTAGTTCAGAGGATTTTGATTGAATTTAAATTTAGTTATGAATAATTCTGTCATAAACTTCAATTTTGAGGTGTGCAGTACATAATTCATGTGTATGAAAGAGTATATACATATAAAAAATCTTAGCTTTTTACTTTTAAGGATCTAAAATTTCTAACGACTATTTTCTCTTTTAATACTTTGCTGCAGGTGACCTATAGTATCACTATTGAGGAGAAAACATACATTCTCTCTCTCAAAAAACAGTAAGTGTCCATTTTTCTTTTCATACAGTTGTTTTTATAATCACCACCCTAAATTGAGCTTAAATAAAAGCATAAATACTTCATTTCTTTAACACATTGTATCTGCTTTGGAGTTAATGTTAGGCTTGAATTTCAAACATTAATTGTGATTTAATAATCTAGCCAAATTCTAATTTAATGATAGAAATATTAATGCATGTTTGATGAATGAGAATTATTCTATTTTACTCCTTAAAATGTAAGCAGAAATGCAATAATCAAAGGCCTTTTTTATGTCTGTTTAATTTTTTTTACCTGTAGAGATCATTTTACATATTTATATTTTTTAAGCATCTTAATTCACATTACACTTGTCAAAATAAAAATTAAAATTAAAATGGAGATCAGGCCTGAGAAGTTCCTCAACCAAAAAAAAAAAAGAAAAAGAAAGAAATCAGATAGACCATGAAAATAGCCATAAGTTGTACACATAATTACAACTTAAAGTGGGTCTTTCTTTGTAAATGCCAGTGTTGGCAAAATAAAACTTAAGCCCAGCGAATCTAAAGTGCTCAAGTAAGGCATAATTATATGATCAGGGACCTTCCCACAAGGGAACTAAAAGAAAAGTTAATAACCGTAGCCAATCACATATTTCCTTTGTTTTTACTTCCAAAGTTACAATATAGATACTTGCCCTTCAACTCTTCTCTGATTTTATGCTTTCCATTCATGAATTGCTGTGAACTGAAGTTCACTCTTTTTTAAGTTCTTTCACATTTTGTTGCACCTCACAATAATGTTTTTTATCATTTTGCTACAGTTTATCCTTTTCTATCTATAAATTCTCTTTTCTCCTTTTATTCTGTTAGAAAACCAATGGCATTAACTTTGTACATAACCTTCAGTAATTTCCTATTCTAAATTCTATCTTTAAAACAACACATAGAAATGGACAGAAAAGTTTGTTTTTCTACAAACATCTATATTAATTTGAAACTGGTAGATTTTATTAATAATGTGCAATGTATATCTTGTTATTCTCAGCATGACATTCTTTAATAGATAACAATCCACATTATGTAGAATCATGGATAATATTATTTTCAGGGAATGTCTCTCTGGAACCCTACAGTGAGCATCCTTATATATAAATTCTTATATATATATTTTGCTTTATAGTTTTGACATCAAGAAATGGGATGCCAGATCAAGAAGTACCAATAAAATGACAATAATAAATAGCAACAATGACAAAAGTGGCTGACATTTATTAAGCACATACTGCTTGCCAAACAGATTAAATTAACAATTTCCATATACTTATTTAATTTTCACAATAATCTCTAAAGGCAGGCATTGTGTATTACTCACATGTTTTAATGCACTAATAGTTCTAGAAATATTTTTATATAATTATAATATTTTATATAATTATGACCAATTATTTTCTGAAAAGTCAGTACCAGTTTAATTGTCCAAAATAATGCATGATGTGCCAAAATATCTTTTCTCAAGGTAGCATATCGTGTCAGGGAGCACATCGTAAAGCAAGCCATTTACCTGATAGATGAGAAGCAAATAAGAGAGAATGAGGAGGAGACCAAAGTTCCCATGTACCCAATGACCCAAAGCCTCCTACAATAACCACAACTCTTAAAAGTTCTACCACATTCCAATAGTGCTTATAGCCTGGCGACCTGTCATTTAACCCATGGGCCTTGGAGGACATTGCAAATGCAATCTATAGCCACCTACTTGAATGCTCTGTTATTGCTCTATTGAGAGTCTTAGTCATTTTCAATAAGGGATCTTGCATTTTCAATTTAGTGTTGGCCCCCAAAATTAACTAGCTCATTTGTGGCTATGTTACTTAATTTGTTCAAAGAGTGTTAGCTGACATAAACAGAGGGTTGAAAACAGCTTTGTGATTTTCTGCTTCCCATCAAGTTTGTCTACCATTGCCATGAAAATATACTTGAACTAACTTCCTGGAAGCAGTGTCACATGGATTGCAGCCAAAATACCCTATAAGTCTCATTCAAGGTCAGCCAAAATTCACTTGAATCCTACACCAAATCTGGTTGAGGTTAGTAAAAGTACTGAATCTACCCTCACATTACCCAGAAAGGGACAAATATTTGCTTATTTTTTTATTGTGCATATTGTAGTTTTCTGGTAGTTTGGTATGTAGCATTTTATGTAAGATCATTATTTAGGATTGATTCATATTGATGTATATATACAAAATGAGTTCATTTATATTCAGTGCATATGTAGACATCAAATCAATATGTCTTACCTATTATTTATCCACCAATATTTGTAGGGATGTCCATTAATTTTACTCAATTGATTAACAACAATGCCAAGAAAAGTTGTCTGTGGATGTCATTGTTCTTGTTCTTGACTTCCTCAGAGGCACCTGTGAAATTGTTACGTCATAAATGAGAAAACATTCATGTGTGGCATACACTGCAAATATTTTAGTTGAAGAAGTGCATACTGACTGCCACTAACAATTCAAAGCTATCTCTAATCTCTATATCCTCAACCAAATGCACAATTTTACTCTTTTATTATTGCCAATTAATACATAAAGGATTCCACTTCATAGTAAAACAGTTCAAGATATATTTCCCTACTTTTTTTCCACTACTTGGAGCATGCCATATGTTTTCAAATATTTGTCCACCATTCTAATTGAACCCTTCCCCTAGATTTAGCTTTTTCTTTGTGGCTTTATTTTTATTCCCTTGGTTTTGAAATATTTATTTTTAATATATAATTTATTTTTCTTTTTAGTTTTTTTTTTTTACAATCAGCTTGGGAGAAATTATATTTTCTGTGTATATTAACCCTTTGATTTGTTCTAGATGTTGCAGGTATGCTGCCCAGTCTATCGATTGCCTTCTTTTTAGGATTTACGGCTATAAAAATTTAATTTTCATTTCAACAGTTCTATTCATATTTTGTCTGATTGATTTTAGAATTTCCCACTTATGTTTCTTACATCTTGAATTTGTATCATAATGATCCTTCAGTGATACTAAAAGTGTTTATACACTTCAGATGAAAATATAGTGCTGGCTTTATTGATTATCACTATCTTCTTATTTTTCTTGATATTGCAACTTTTATGCAGACCCTGATATTGGTTAGTCAGAAAACTTGCAGATTATTTTCTTCAGTTGAAATAAATGCATAGAATGCTTTCTGAATTGGTGTGTTTCTGCAAATTTTCCTTTTGTTTTCAATGAACAATACCTCATGAATCATATTCATTCATATAGTTTTTTGTTCTAAAAGTTCATCTTAAGTGAATTTTTCAGTACATGTTTTGTTGTTGTTTATATTTGTGTGTGTATGCATATGTGTGAATTTTGAAGTATTTATGCTTTACCAATTCAGTTCTTGGCCACCAAAATCTCTTTGATATATTTATTAAATTAAAAATTTTCAGTGTGATATGTTTCAGTTTTAGAATGCCCATTTTATTTTTCTTGAAATGATCTCCTTTGAAATCAATTAACTTTCCTTCAAATTCTAATTTTACTCTTAAATCAGTGCTAATTTCTTATTTATTTATTTATTTTCCTTACATGGAATATTGGTTTTTTAGTGATCAATTATCCCTTTGCTATTTAAGCCAGACTCCTTTGTAGTTTCATGTAGGAGTAAAAAAATATACTTCTGAGGGCCTAAGGTGAATAAACTTGAAAACTGAAGTGTTATAATTATGTTAGATTTCTTTTAACATATAATTTTTCCCCTGAATACGACTTCTGTATCCTATTTCCACTACCTTCATTTGCATGCTTTACAGATAAAAAAATGTGACTCTGCTTTCATGCCATTATTTATTATCCAGGATCTTGCACCTAAATTTAGATATTTTCCTTGAATCTATACATACATTCAGTTTCCTTGAATAAACTGATAAATAACATTTTTTTTCTGCATTGGGAAGATTACAGTTTTGGTTCTAAATTGAGAAGAAAAATTTGTCAGGAATGAGAGAAAATGAAATAGATATAAAGAGTGAAGAGGGAAAGAAAGAAGTCTGTGAGTGCCCCAGCATCTATTCTAGTCTGGCCTTGAAATGTGTTTTGGTGCCTGTGATCCTGATAGCTTGTTGCTTAATCTTCATTTCATCCCATGGGAAAATAATACCTCTCACCACTTTTTGTCAAGTGCATCCACAAAAATTGTTTAGCTTGTGAAATTTGAGCAAAATACCAGTATCCCCTGTGAACTAAGCTTTAGGACTAACATATGCTTACACAGCTTCTTTTGCCTTTTTGCTACAAAAAGGCATGTTTAAGGGTAAGGCATGCCTTTCCTAGATTTCAGAGTGAAGTTGAGACTCCAGGAGACTCATGAACACTCATTGTTCTTTTTAGGGCACTGAGGAATTGAAGGTTGTTTTAATCATAGTATAATTTCATGAAAACTATTTAATAAAAAAATAGATTAACCCATTTTTAAGTGTTAGCAAATATTAAGATATTCATCCCATGGTATCTATTGAAGGTGGATCTTAAATAAAAGTCTCTTGAAATACGAAATTCCTATTATTGCATGAAGTTTGCATTGAACAATTTATCATTCTGAATTCATCACAGCTCCATACTAGTCCTGGTTATAGTAGTTAATTTTGTTTTGTATTTTTTCTTATGTAGATAATACAATATTAAGACAGGTGAGTCTATTTTAGTTTAGATATTTGGACTTAAAACATTGATAGTAAATCTTGATTCATTTCACTGTTCTAGAAGTTATTATTAATGATATTAATACAATGAAATTTCAATGTTTGTTTGAAATAGGTCATATTTAGCCCCAAATTTCCCAGTGTTTTCATATAGCAAGTGGGGATCATTACAAGAAGATTCTTTATTTGTTAAGGTAAGTTTTGATATTTTCTGTGTTTTAATTTGGTTAAGGTGCTAGTGTTGGCAAGAAAACGGACGCTTTATACTCTATAATGTTGTTGGGGAAACAGATAACAAACACCTCCCCCCCCAGGCAAATATGGCAAATTTCTTGGAAATCATATTGACTAAAACAGATACTTTTACTTTACTGGAAATCACAAATCATTTATCAATCAATAAATAAATAAAACAAGAAGAAGAAGAAAAAAAAAGGAGAGATCTAGGTATATAAGAAGTTCTTTTTAGAGAGAAAAAACAGAATGGTGAGTGTGAGGATGCAAAAATACGCCCAGAATCTTAAGTAGGTTCACATGCGAATCATTGGAACGTGAATGGTTTCCAAAAGGCTTTCGGGAGCTAGAAGGTTTTGGAAATATGTGAGAAAATAAGTGTGTAAGATATTTATTTTGGTTGAACAGATTGGTAAGAGGCAAATGAGAGTGATGGGTCAGATTATTTTGCTATATCAGAACTGAGAGATAATGTGATTAAAAATATGGTAACTATAGTCTGTTTGGTTCACCCTACCTTATGCAATTAGTAAGTAGAACAAAATGAAAGAGATATGTTACAATAGGCTGATTGGGATTCAATTTGGCTTTCGGACTGGGGATACTATCTGGACTACAGCATAGGGGTTGGAAAGAAGCAGAACTCGAGTTCTGAGTTCAGAGACATCGAAGCAGTTGAAACTTGCATGGCACATTGTCAGAGATGTGGGGGTGTACTGTCTGCAGCCCACTTTGCTAGAGTAGTGGAATGGGTTGCCAAGAGACCAAAGAAAGCACCCAGAGAGGGCATGCAAGATGTATATTTTATTAAAAACTGCTTACAGGTAAGGTCCAGTGATGACAGTTTGAACTGATAGCACTTGCATCTGTTTTGTTGATAAAGACAGAATTTTACTTTTTTTGACATCTGAATATTCCACCATTTATACAAATTGCATTTTTCTTTTCCATTTTTCTTTTGTAAGGGAAGTTAGGCTGATTCCAAATCATAGCTATTATCAATATTATTGCAATAAAATGGGCATATAGGGGCCTTTTTGTAATATTGACTCCATTTCTTGGGCTATATACCCAGAGTTGGGAATCACTGGGTCTTAGAGTATACCTACTTATAGTTTTTTTGAAGAGGTCTTCCTTTTTGTTAATTGTTTTATGTCCTTGGGCGGTGCTTCCTTGCTTGACTGTGAATTTGGCTACACCTATGTGCTGAATTGTTGTGAGTGAAATAGGGATATAAATATCAGACACTATTGGGATATATTGGTATCAGCTGAGGTCTGGTGGAATCATCTTGCTAAGTCCCCAGGCATTCATCTAAGATAAGAAAAGATTTTACTAAGAGAAAATATTAAAAGTCTAGAGGGAGGTCCACCTTATCACCCTCAACCCTCTAACCCAAAGTCAAAACCTAGCAGTAAGAAGGTTAATTTGAGTTACCATTAAATTAATTGCCTTCTGTACAAAATGCAATACTGTATATAGAGAGGTTACACATAATATAGAATGGAAACCATTCAGATAAAGACAGAAATTAATGAGACAGAAACATAGAAAAGAATAGGAAAAAAATCTACAAGACCAACCTTGAATCCCTTGAAAGGATTAGTGAGAATAATCCCACGTAAGAACTCTCTAGAACAAAAATAAAAATATCTACAAATATTAAGGATGGAGAATCATTATTACTAGTCATACATAAACCAAAATATTTTACAATTCTATAATGGTTTCATGCCAAAAATTCTATCATTTGTTTGATAAAGACAATTTATCAAAATTTAGACAGGAAAAAGTAAACAATCTCAGTTGACATTTATTTAAAATTTGAATTTTTAAACACCTACTTTCCCAGATTTAGTTAATCTCACTTTAGTGTATTCCCCATGTTCTGAGGAAGAGAGGATATTACCTATTGAGAGGTGACTTGGCTGTTGCAGCTATGGTATTAAAAATAATGCTTTCAAGAATATTCATGTGCAAATAGTTGTGTGGATGTAACATTTTATTTCTCTGGGATATGTGGGTAAGGGTGTGATTACCAGATCCAGTTGTAAATAAATGTGTGTTTTGGTGATTTTTTTAAGAAAATACCAAATTATTTTCCAGAGTGTCTATAGAATTTTAATATGCTCACCACCAAAGTATGAGGGATAGAGCTCTTCATAATAATCAACATTTGGCATTTTAATCATGCACACACATAGACAAAATATTAGCTTCTCTCATTTAGCAGTATCTCGTGTGGTTTTGATTTGTGTTTCTTAATGGCTAGTGAGTGATGGATATATTCTCATGTGCACGTCACTTTTTGAGATAGGTCTATTTATGTTTTTCTTTCATTAACTGGATTGCCTTTTAAAACTATTATGCCATTATATGCATATATTTTAAATCCACATTTTGTCAGATGCTTTTTTTGGAAGTATTTTCGCTCAGCCTGTGAGGTACTGATTAGAAAGTAAGACTATTTCATGACAACTTTTTTTTCTAAAAGTTTTATTTTTCTATGCATGCTGTTTAATTCTGTGTCTGAGACAATTTTGATTAAGGTGTGCAGGGTTTGTGTCAAGGTTCATTCTTTACTAGTTATGTAACTGTCCAATAACTGATAGAAAAGGCAGCCTTTTAACATTAAAAGAAAATATTGTGGCACTTTTGTCAAAAATCAGTTGGGCACATTGGTGTGGATATATTTCTGTGCTGTTTATTCTGTCCAATTCTAGGTGTGTGTCCAGTTCTATAATGTCACTTTCTTTACTCTGCTTGCTCATTAAATATTTATATAGACTACAGTGATCCTACTGTATTCTTCTTTCTCAAGGTTTCTACAATGTTCTATTTCGAGATTTGTCTTTTTAACATAAATGTTAGACAAAGCTACTCCATATGTAGAAAAAATAACTCTACTTGCTAGGATTGAGCTATAAATTGTTAGATCTGTAGGTCAATTTGAGAAGAATCAACATTTTTAGTTTTCCCTCCCCCAAAACACAGTCGGTCCATCTCTATTTTTTTTTATGTCTTTCATTAGAATTTTATAATTTACCTTTTTCACCTTCAGCTTATATTTTAAGGTTTACAAATAAATGTTTCATTTCCTTTGGAGCAAATGCTACTACTGTGTTTAAAAATCATCTTCCATTTGCTTGTTTTTATCGTCTGGAGATCAACTTACTTATGTGTGTTTAACTTACATGCTACCAGCTTGATAAATTTTCATATTAGTTCTAAAAGTTTTTTTTTTTCAGATTCCTTGAAATTTTTTTTAATAGACACTTATTTTACAAACAGGAATGGTTTCCTTTTCTCTTTTTCAATCTGTCCACTTTAAAAAATTTATTTCCTTTGACTCATTGTGCTTGCTACGATCTGCATTAATGTGCTAGCAGTAATGAAGGTAGACTTGCTCCATGTATTCCCTATCTTAGGAAAAGTGTTCAGTCTTTCACCATTGGGGAGAATGTTGCCTGTAGGTTTGCTTAGACTCTTTATCAAGTTGAGAAAGCTCTCTTTTTCTAATTGCTAATTGTGTTTTTCTTTTTCTTTGCCATTAGTGGATGAAGGAGTTTTTAATTATATCAAATGATTCTTCTGTATCAATTGGTAGGGTCCTATGAATTTTTTCTTTGTTTTCCTAACAAGGTAGATTGCACTAATGAATTTTCAAATCTTGAAACAGTCTCACATACCTAGAGAAGCAGCATCTTGGGCCTGGTATATAAAATTCCTTTTCTCATGATTGAGATGATGATGATGATGATGATGATGATGATGATGATTTTGATAATTTCTTGAAGATGGATGTTATCAAAGACCATCAGAGACATTGATCTGTGGATTGCTTTTTGTACTAGCTTAATCCAAATTTTTTTTCCGATTAAAATTTTATTTTATTTTATTTATTTTTTTTTAATTTATTTTTTTTATTGGTTGTTCAAAACATTATAAAGCTCTTGACATATCGTATTTCATACATTAGATTCGAGTTGGTTATGAACTCCCAATTTTACCCCAAATACAGATTGCAGAATCACATCGGTTACATATCCACATTTTTACATAATGCCCTATTAGTAACTGTTGTATTCTGCTACCTTTCCTATCCTCTACTATCCTGGCCTCAAAAAGTGCATAGGCAAGTCTTTCCTATATTCTGGAAAATGTTGTATCCAATATGTGAACTTTTAACATGTTTGGTGAAGTCATTGGTCTATATGAAATGGGTACATTTAAGTTGCCAATTCAATTTATTTAATGGTTGTAACAATATTTATGTTTAATCTGTGTTGCTTTAGTGTTTGTGACCTTTGAGGAATGTTCTCTCTTATCTTGGTGTATTCATATATATAAATTTGTTCATTACATGTCTTTATTATTCTTAGCAGAAGCTATAGGCCTGCTCTTTCTTGAATTGATTGTTTGTGTTTTCTTTCTTTTAAATTGAATTGATCAAAGAACCAGCTATCTCTTCTTTGATTTTTCTATATTGTTTTCTTATTTAGAACTGTGTTTATTATTTTCTACATCCCAGTAGTTTGGAGTGAACTTTGGTCTTTTTCTAGGTTTTTTGAAGGAAAAAGTCATCTTGTTGATCTTTCCTCTTTTCTAACCTAAGTATTTTCCTACTAAAATTATCCTCTCAGAACAGCTTTGGTTGCATCCAACAGCAATATGTTTATTGTTTCTTTAATTCAGATTTACCTGTAACCATATTTAATACAAATACATAATTAACA